AAAAAAAGACGACTGGCAAACGAGTGAACGAGACTAAAGAAAAGCAAACGCCCCTGATCCGTTCGGAGCGTCAATGTGTCCAACTAGTGTCAACAACTCGTTGGCCGGATAGCCGGATGGCCAGGGCTTGGGACCCCTATTTACGCCCCTTTCAGTGCTTCCCCCCAACCTGCAGATTGCCAGGTGAACCGTGTTAGTGATGCCGGACAAAATTTGTGAAAACAGAGCCAAAACCGCTGTAAACAGTACTGCCCCCCCCCCTCCTACTTTTGCATTTCCCCCGTTGCCCTTCCCTCTTCTCTTGCCGCACGCCGCACCCCACCGCAGCGACTAATAAGTGGCTCGCTGTACCGAGTGTAAAGGCTAATATTCCGCAGTGTTGCGGGTTTGCATACCCAAGGGGCTATGGCGCCTTACGGGCAGATCGGGTAGGCAAACCCGCAACACTGCGGTGTATTGCCTTTACATACGTAATATTCTTCCGCTCGCCCTTTCAATCAGAGTTAAAACTAGCGGCCACACTAAACTCTATGATTCGCCTCATCAGATTTGGTGTTAAATAGGTGTCATAAGAAATTGCAGCGCCAACATGTTATTTTAATTTTTAAGTGCCCTTCTCCTTTCTCATTTGGCGCGCACCCGGTGCACGCGCATCTCCGTCTCGGCGCAGACGTGATAGCGGGTCTTGGTGACGAGCATGCCCAAGCGAATGAGCCAGACGTTACCCTCCCAGGGCAGGGGCAGCTTCTCCAGGAGGGGCGTGTTGGTCGTGATGTTGCGCACGTGGTAGGTGCCCTGCAACGGACACGGAACAGTGTTTTATTCCAGTGCGGGTATCCCGCCCCAGGAGACACCTCCTCTGCCCACCTCCTTGAAGGGACAGCTCAGGCGGGGCTTTATATGAGACAGTGCGCTGCTCCAGATGGCGTTGGGGTCGTCCCACCCCTTGCACGGGTTATTTTCGAAGCGCCAGTTCTGGAAGCGCTCGCAGGAGTTGGACGAGACACTCTCCCTGCACTTAGTGAGCTGTATCATGATCTGTGAACGAGCAGTAAGCAAGGTCGGTCCTGGGCAACACAATTAATGCGATCAACAAACAAAGTCACACTGACTTAAGCCTCACCGTGTCGACATTCTGGACCGAGCGGGTGACGTTGAAGTCGACGTTCAGAGAGGATTCCGTCTTGCTGATCATGCGGGTCTGAAAGTTGAAGTACCGGATGGCGTTGCCTGGCTCGTTGCGGCACGCCTCTAGTTTGGGGAACTCGACAACCAAACGGGAGGCCTGCAATAGACTGGGGCGCTGCTAAGGAAAGTAGCAGAGTGAAAAATCTCATCCGAATTGTAGCGTATCCGATTGGTCGAGAGCTTCCCGCCTCTACGTCACGCCGGTAGTGGGAGTAGGCGTTCGGCCAATCAGGATCCTTTATGTTCTACCCGCTATTCTTCTTCCTCCGTTAGTCGAAATACACTATAGCAGCAGGTAGCACTAACATAGAGCACACCTCTGGTTTGACTTACACTTGGACGCTTCGACCAGCAGACGGGGTGCATGGCGAGGAAGAGGAGGAGGGCGAGGATGCAGAGGAGCATGTCGCCATGGCGCTTACTCGGAGCAGGCTGACGAACACACATGCAAACACAAGCACGGCGCTAGTCGTGGAGGTGGAGGCGAGACAGGCTGCAGCAGCCTGCTCATTGGCGCGCGAAGTCGGTGGCACCACTGAAAGGACCAGCGGTGAGCACGGCACCAACGAGTGAGTGATTTCATTTATTTTTTTTGCCAAGCCCGCCGGCTGGTTACTCGTGCAAACTCGTAGAGCCGATTGCATCTGTAGTTCAAAATGCCACGTGCGGTGGGACGGGACACATCGATAAACGGGACAAAAAGTAAATGAATATAGGGTGCTCCAGGCCATCCAGATCGGGCGTAGGAAACGAACAAACTCTCTGATTCGTCTCTTTCCGTAATGGCTCTGATTGGTAGACCTGATCGCGTGCCTCTTCGGCTTTTCGGGTACGCGAAACTGTCAGATCATATTCGAGCTTCCCTCCGTATTGCAGATGTTGAAATCGGTGTGTTTGGTCTCTTTCATTAATGTGCTAGATATAAGAGTCGACGAAAACGAGCATCGAAATACAAGAAGTCAGCAACTCGTTCAGCAGCCATTCTTTAATTAAAGCATTGACAACATGGTGTTGGCGATCTATGTGTCTTGAATGGAGTGGGGGACGGTCCCTTCCCTCAAGTTGACTCCTTTTCCGTTAATTGGTTCCCAACTCGTATCAAAAATTAACATAAAAAAAGATTTCGGAGAAGCCATCTCTCCTCCTGTTTCACTCGATCAGTTGTCACGGACCCGCTGAAAGTGCAACTCCATTTCCGTACAAATGTTGATGCCGCTCTTGGAGTCCATCATGGAGAAGCGCACCAGCCAGACGTTGCCCTCCCATGGCAGCGGAAGCTTCGCCAAGAGCGGCGCGTTGTTGGTGATGTTGCGCACGCGGTAGGTGCCCTGAAACAAAGGCGAAAAACCTCAAGAGAAAGATAGGGGAAAAAAAGCAGCAAAAATCAGAACAAATCAAGAGAAAAAAACACATAATTAAA